GCATCTTTTCAGTGTTTGCTAGCCATCTGTCTTCTTAGGAAAAATGTCTATTCAGGTCCTCTGCCCATATTTTAATTGGACAGTTTGAGTTTTTTGTTGGGTTTGGGTTTTTTTAGTGTTAAACTGTATGATTTCCCATTATATGATGTACCATTTTCAAATCTTTTCCCATTCAGTCGGTTGTCTTTCCATTTTGTTGGTTGTTTCCTTCTCTGTGTCTGTGGTTTTCTTTCAACATCTGTTTGGTATCAGGGTTGCTGGATTCATAATATGAGCTAGTGAGTATTATCCCCTCTTCAAGTTTTGAAAATATTTGTGTATATTGATATTACTTCTTTAAATGTTTGGTAAAATTCACCATTGAAACTATTGTGAGCCTGAAATTATCTATTTCTTTTTGAGTAGCTGGTCTTTCAAGGAATTTCCCCATGTCACTCTAGTTGTCAATTTTATTGGCATAAAGTTGTTTAGAATATTTACTTGCTATTCTTTTAATGTCTTGAAGACCTTTAGTAATAGTTCCTCTCTTGCTCCTAATATTGATAATTTGTATTTTCTTTCTTTTTCCTTTAATCAGTGTGGCTACAGTTTCCCAATTCTATTAGTTTTCTTTAAAAGCCAGTCTTTTGGCATCACTGGTTTTCTTTATTGCTTTTTTTGTTTTCTATTTATTAATTTATGCTCATATTTTAATTTCCTTTCTTCGGCTCACCTTTGGATTTAATTGGCTTTTTTTCTGGTTTCTTAAGGTAGAAGCTCAGGTCATAAATGTTTATACCTTCTTATTATAAGTGCTACATATTCCTTTTAAGACACTAAAAAAATCTTTATCTGCACCCTACAATATTTGATATGTCACATTTGTATTTTCCTTGAATTCAAAATACTTTCTCAATTCCCTGTGATTCCTTCTTTGGTCCATGAGTTACTTAGAAATGTGTTTAGTTTCTAATTATTTGAGGACCTTCAAGATATTTTTCAGTTATTGATTTCTAATTTAATTCTGGTGTGGTCAAAGAATATACCTTGTATGGTTTAAAACCTTTAACTGCATTGAGATTTGTTTTATGGCCAAATGGTTTATTTTGGCAAAGCTCCTGTGTACGCGTGAAGGCAGTATGTATTATGCAGTCGTCAGGTGGAGTGTCCTATGAATGCCAGTTAGGTGAGGTGGTTAATGGCATTGATCAAGACTTCTGTATCCTTACTAATGTTTTAACTGCTTGTTCTTTCAATTATTGAGGGAAAATTGTTGAAATCTTCAACTATAATTATGGATTTGTCTATTTTTCCTTTTAGTTTGATTGTTACTGGAACATAGGGTTTGTTTTTCATTTTAACTTTGCACACAGAGTTAAGGAATGCTGCTCTAAACCAATAACTCTCAAACTTTATCATGCATCAGAATTTTGGGGGGCTTATGGAAACCAGATGGCTGGGCCCCATTCCCAGGTTTTCTAGTTCAGTGGGTCTGGAGGGATTTGAATTCCTCACAGTTCCCAGGTGATGCTGATGCTGCTTGGTATAGAAACCACACTTTCAGATCACTGACTAGAAAGACAAACACCTTATGAGTTCACTTATGTATGGAATCTGAAAAACAAAATAAACAAACAAAACAGAAACAAACTCATAGGTACAAGGAACAAACTGATGGACACCAGATGGGAAGGAAGTGGGAAGGATGGATGAAAAAGGGGGAGGGATTAAGATGTACAAATTGCCAGTATAAAAAAGGTCACAAGGATGTCAAGTACAGCATAAGGGATATTGTCAATAATACTGTAATAACTATGTGTGGTGTCAGATGGTTACTAGACTTAACAGAGTGATCACTTCATAAATTATATAAATGTCTAATCACCATGTTGTACACCTGAAACTAATATAATTTTAATTGAAAAATAAAAATTATTTTAAGAGAGAATCACTGACTAAGCCAAAGTTTCTCAATCTTGGTTGCATATTAGAATAACCTGAGGGGCTTTAAAAACTGTAACACACAGGCTGCGACCAAACCAATTAAATTTAGGATCTGCACGGGGAAAGGGAGAGTAGTGGGACCCAGGCATCGGTATCCTTTAAAGCTCTTCTATGTGATTCCAATAAATAGTCAAGACTGAGAATCACTGCTCTATCCTAAAGGAATTCTCCAGAGTGCCCAAGAAGGTCTTTGGGGCTCATTACCAACACTTCCTCAGTATCCCCTGAGTAGAAAAACACTGAGGGGGAGCAGCAGCAGCACCACCACACAGAGGCTGTCTGAAAGATCTAGTGTGCTGGGGTAGGGGACTGGGTTTTACTTCTCTCCCTTCTGCTGTCAACCTAGTCGCTTCCTCTTTTGTAAAATGGAGCCAATATTTCCTGGTCACTTCCTACAATTACCAAGGTTCTGACAACCAATATCATCTATCTTTTAACACTGGTAAAAAAAATCCATTAACTAAATATACTTGGAAATTAAAACAATCTTTAATGATACTTATTTTCCATAATTGGATTGTATAAGTAGTTTATTTAGATAAGAAATGTATTGACTAAAAATTATCCAGGTACCCTCTATCCTACCTAATACCTGTAGGGAAATCCATGCATAACACAGGTATATTCCAAATAAACTTGAACAACTGTTCCATTAGTAAACTCATTCATCAGGAATCTTTTAATATTCCATTAACCCTCCTATTTTCCTTCACTTTATCCTGCACAGGGACTTTGACCAAGGAGAAACCATTCTGGCAGAAGAATTACGACAAACAGTGCTGACACTTTGGACTACACCAATACCACAGCCTTCTATTTTTCTTCTCTTCTTCCTTTCCATCCTCCCCCCACCTCCTCCTTTAAAATTTTCTAAAAAAATTTTCAGAGTAATTTTACCAAACTATGGATTATGTAATTTTTAGGATAACCATGTGAGGCAGGCAGAACTGGCATTGCTGTCCACGTTTTTCAGCTGAGACAAAAGCAGGCAAAGAAATTGCACAAGGAACTGGAGCATAACACAGATTCTTTGTCTCCAGGTATAAAATTTTCTTGAACTGAGGGGAAGGAAAAATATGCATAAATGTAGAAAGAGAAAACAGATTTCAGACAGCCTCGGGAGCCGCCTTGGAGATTCACTAGGCAAAGGGCTACTATTGGCAGTAAAGGATATTTAGAGTTAAAGTCATCTAACCATTTTACAAAAGGGGTACCGGGCTTGCCCTCGGCAACTAGAAAGTGTGAAAAGAATGTAGGCTTGACAGACAGGACACTTGAGCTCTGGCCTCATTGTTGCCAGTAAGCTCTGGGTCAATCCACATAGCCAACAACCTACAGACAGTTTACATTTGGATGTCCCACAAGCATTCCAAACTCCTGCCCAAAAGTATTTCCCCTCCCTCACCCATTGTACCACCACTGTCACCTGTTGTGATCATCTCCATAAATGGCTGGAAGACAAGATCCTGGGACTCATCCCTCCTCTCCGTTTGCATGTCCTCTCAGTTACAAAATTCTGCTACAAATCTTTCAGATCCACTGTCTCAGTTCAGGCCCTCACAATCTCTGGCCTGGGTTAGGTTACTGCTGTTGTGTAACATCTCCTGACTTCCTTCTCTTTTGTTGTTTCAGGACTTCTGTCACCTCACCTGCCACCACCGAGAGCTTTGTAAAACTGAAATTGTCTGTCTTGCTCTACTTATTTGCTTCCCACCACCAACTGGGCAACATCTAAAGTCCCAGGCAAACCATCCAATCCATTTCTGATTTGGTCTCTGCCTTCACTCACTTCATCTTTCACCACTCATAACTTCAGTCAAGCTCCAGTTTTGCAGTTCCTCCACTGTCACCTTTGGCTTTGACACTAATGGTTCACTCTTCCTGGAACTTCCCCCCTTCCCCTGCCCATTGTCTGGCTAAAATTAACTCACCCTTCTAGACTCAGCTTAAGTTGGAATTTTTCCTGGCACCCCTTTCATAGGTCCCTTTGATGCTCCCAAGTCATTTTGTGCGGAGTCCCTATTCACCCTGAACTGTTTGCTCACATGTCTGACTGAGGGCAGTGGCTGCTGCGGCCCCATTGGACTAAACTGAGCGTCCCTCACTGAACTGACCTGTGGGGTGGCAGGGAGAGCATCCTATTCAGTGTTTGGTATTGAATATTCATTAAAAAAATATGTGAGTACTTACTTTATGCCATATGTTGTAGGTGTAAGGGTATAGCAGTGAAGAATGCAGTTACTCCTTGTTATCAAGTGGGAGGTGACATAAAAAATAAATGAACAGATAAATAAGAGAATATGGAAGTACTATGTAGAGAATTAAAATAAACCATATGATATGAGGGTGAGAGGGGGGCTATGTTAGAATGGGGATGTTAGGAAGTTCCCCCTGGGGAAGTGACAATAGCTGACCAGTGAATGCCAATGCACCAGGTATTCAGAGAAGAGCTTTGCAGCAGGTAGGACTACGGTACAATGGACAAAGAACCAAAGGCATCCCAGGGGCAAGGTGGGGAAGCAGTGAAGTTGGGGTCAGAGAAGAAGACAAGGACCGTATTATGTACACTTTGTAAGCCAGACCAGAGTTTTGATTTGTTCCAAGTGTGCCGGGGAGTGACATGACCTGATTTATACTTTTAAAAAGATCTCTCCAGGACTGCTCCGTAGATAATAGGCTGTCAGGAGTGGAAAAAGAGACCAGTTTGGAGGAGAATGTGCACGGACTTGGAATATATGGTGAGTCGATAGATTCAGGCTCAGAGAGCCTGGGTAGTTACTGGGGACAGTGCAGTGCTGGGCGACTTCTAAAAGGAGGATCTTGAAAAAGTCCCCTGCCTCCCCCGACTCGGGAAAGAATGTGGGTCAGGCACCTGGAAAGAGTCACACCCAGACCCTCCAGCGGCCCTGGAGGAAGAGTTAGCCGCCGACTTGGCGCGCGGACCCGGGACTCCACGTGCTCCGCGCGGGGGTTTCCGCGTCCTCCGGGCGTGGCCGGAAAAGGAAGTCGGCGCTGCAGTGGCCTCCCCAGCAACAGCGGCGATACCGGCCACCCGCCCCTGTCCGGCTGGGCCACGGAGGCAGCGCAGAGGCCGGACCCCGAGCCTCCCCCCGCCGAGCAGCGCCGCGCCGCCGGGCGCCCAGCAGTCCGATGGGGCCGCAGCGAGCGCTGCCCTCCGCTGCAACCGCCCTGCTCTGGGGCTTCCTGCTCCTGCTCCGGCTGGTAAGGGGGGCGAGCGGGCGCTGGGTCCTCCCCGGGGCGGGGCCGAGGCTGGGGCTCCCTTCCCCTCTGCACCCTCCCCTGCTGCCCGACCTCGGTGCCCGCGACGACGCGGTCAGCTCGCGTGTTTCCTTTCCGTCCCCTCCCCTCCCCAGTACTCACTCTCCTTCCAGCCTTCCTCCACTGTCCCCACGCCTGTCCTTCGCAGCCCCCGAAGTACCTAATCCCGAGAAAGCTCTCTGCGGAGCCCCTCATGCTACGTTGATCTTGGAGCTCCTCTATAGTTCTCTGAACATTTTTAAATGACCTCTGAGAGTTATCGTCTAGCCTTTTTTGTAGCTTCTTAACCTCTTTCCTCCTTGGGAAGAAAGGGGAAAAAAAAATGTACACGGTCCCAGGAAGGTCAGCGGTCGTTCAAGGACTGCCTTTTATAGTTTAATTGCTCTAATAGAGATTTTTTTTCCTCTTCCTCTGTAGTTCCTCCTTCGCTGTAGGGCTCCTTTGATTCCATTCTAGGGGGGCTTTGTAATAGTAATAATTTCAAATGGCTTTTAAAAGAACACAAAAGTGTAATGCCTTTAGTGGTTTCTCGTTCTCTGCCTACTTTAAAGGGGAAAGGACTAACAAAGAACGCGTTTACAAGTTTTCATAATCACAGAAAAGTGGTAATGTTTTAAAGTTCAACATCACACCACTGGAGCTTCCGTGGGCGTTCTGGAGCTTGTGCCCAGTGGTTCAGTTTTTGTTTCTTCGTAAATTTCACTGGGGAGTTCCAGGTTGGAAACTTTTGGAGCTTTATGTACACAAAATCTGTGGGATGTCTGCCTGTTTAGTTCTTACCATTAGGATGTGCAACTTATCTGAAAGTTTACTTGCACATTCTCCAGTTGAAAGGATTATTATTAGTGAGTATATTCAGTATGAAAGTGCCTGTAACATTTAAGAAACCGAAATCAAAACCTAAAATGGATAAGTGCCTTTGGTGTATTCATAATTTGCTAGGCAACATTAGGAACATGAATGAGGTAATGAATCTAAAAATTGCTTGTGGGGGGAGTACAATGTGAAGAAAATACAATAGCAGTATTACACTGAATCTTTGAGGTGTTATATAACCAGATCTGTCCAAAAGATTACAATTCATCTATTATGTAAATAGACATAAAACTATACATACATTTAAGTTGTCTGAATTTTTTGCACTTTTTCATTTGAGCTTAAGCTGATTGTAGGTATGTATCTTCTATATCACATTCCTATTAATCCTCTCTCAACACAAATTGATAATTAATTTAACAATACATTAGTTGTTCATAAACTCACATTGAAATTCTTATAAAAGCTCTGAACCCTCTCAATAGAAAAATATAAGCAGAATTTTCATATCATTTCAAGGGCTTAATACATCTAAAGCCTGTTCTTGTTCTAAGTTGTAGCTAACCTGTCGACCCCACAGTCTAGATTTTAGTTTTTATATTGCACATGTGTGCTTTGTGATATCTTACTGCATTAATCTTGGGTTCTGTACTCCTCAGTCCCAGGGTTGTGGGGACTGTGGAAGGAAGAACTTAATCTCTTCAAGTTTCTTCTGGCTGGTCTAATAATCAAAGAGGCATAAGACAGATTAGCCAGAGAAAATAACCAAATTTAGTAGATATGTATGTGTGGGAGCCCATGTGCATGAGAAGTTCAGAGACAGAAAAGGAAAATGGGCATGTAACACATTCCCAGCTAGGGATGAGGTGCGGTCAGTTGAGGCCTTCAAAGAGTTGTTGCAGAATGATAAGAACAGATGTTTAGCAAATAGAAGGTTTTCCTGCCCTACAGACAGGTCAAAAGAGGTTATCTGTGATGTCTTCCATTACAGTCAAGGCCCCTAGTTCAAGTTCTTCCAGGTAGCCAAGGGCAGAGTAGAAGTTTATCCTGGCCCACCAGTAAAATTGCCCTTAGCTCAAAACAATACACATACCACACAGGCACACCTTGGGACGACTAGCTCTGAACCCCCACAGGACTTAGTTCGGTCCTTCCTCCCTTCCCTTCCTTCCTTCCTTCTCTTACTCTCTCACTCGGTGATATGTTTATTGATTTTAGGAGAGGAAGGTGGGTAGGGGGAAACAGAGGAGGGGGAAGAGAGAGACAGAGAGAAACATGGATGAGAGAGATAGATTTGTCAGTTGCCTCTCCTACATGTCCTGACCAGGGATTGAATCTGCAACCTGGGTATATGCCCTGACCAGGAATTGAACCCACAACATTTGGTGTATGAGACAATGCTCCAACCAACTGAGCCACCCGGCCAGTAACATTCTTTCACTTCACAAATATTTAGTGTGTTATCTGTTATATGCCAGACACTGTGCTGGTGACTGAGTAAACTGAAAAGATCTTTTTCAAATTGTGAAGACCTTTTTCAGTGCTAACCAGTATTACTGATTTTCTATTTCTTATTGCTTTCTCAGTGGTTTTCCTCTTGTCTCTTCCTTCCTTTAATTTCCCGAAATGATCTATTTCTCAAACCTTTCCTTTTCTGGGGAATTCAGATAAGTCTGGTGTCCTTTTCTGCAGCAGGAGCTCTCTCCCTTCGGCTTACTTACTCATACCTACTTCCTTGCCTACAACTCTGTCTGGTGGTGGTTTTGTTTCTTTGGTTTTGTTTTTTTACTGTTTTCTCCCTGAAGCCCCTGCTTGTTACTCTTCCCCAAAAATACACCTCTAGGTGTCTCTCTGAGTTCATTTGAATTAATATGTCAGCTTAATCATTTCATTTCTCCTTTCTGGGTCTTGCAACGGGCACTGCTGGGCATCTTTCCTCTTAGTCATGTAAGAACAGGGCTAATGTCCTCATCCAGAGGCAGTACATAATCTCCAGAAACCTCTGCCACTTTCCTGTGGAAGAGCCTTTAGTGTTGGAAAGACCCTTCATGCCATGTGGCCTACTCTACTCTCCTGGTCTTGTCTCCCTCACGTCAGTAACCTCACTGTGTATATCGAAATCAAGCTACTGCACTTCTGGCCATTTTAATGAATTCTAAACCCATTAAACATTCAGTCTAGATTTAAAAAGAGTGCCTGGCAGGTGGTTAATTCTCTCTGGGCCTTGCCATTTTCTATTTCACACTCATCTTTCCCCAGCGCAACCCCCAACTCCTGGCCCCAGCTGTTAGACCTTTATTTCACAGGGTTGTTTGGACACAGTCGCAGAGTTCTGTTTCAAAGTGAATGAATAAGTGTAGCCTGGATCTGTTTCCTAAAATTGCTTCAAAGTTCTCTGAAGAATCCTGACTCTTTTTCATAATGTTTTTACAAAAGTTCTGTACATTTTTTCATAACTTAAAAGAATTTGAAGTGTTACACAACCACATCTTGAACTTATTACAATGAAATGATAATCAGGATCCCCAGCAGAAAAATCTCTTGCTGAAATTTGCATTTCTTTGGTAGATTACAAAAACTCAGAGAATCTTCCCTAGTTCCTTCTCTTCTGCCCTCCACTCTCAACCTCCTGGGGAAAACAAGTGCGTGCTGCTACCCAGGCTGTCTGAGCTGCTGTGCTCTGGACTGAATTGTGTCCCCCTCCCCAATTCATGTTAAAGCCCTGACTCCCAATGTGATCGTATTTGGAGATGGGACCTTTTGGAGATAATTAGGTTAAGATAAGGTCAGAGGGTAGGTTCCTTGTGATGGGATTGGTGACCTAATAAGAAAAGATGCCAGAAAGCTTACTATCTGCTCCTCCTCCCTGCCCCCTTCCTCCAACCCTGTGAAGACACAGTGAGCAGGTAGCAATCTATAGGCCAGAAGGAAAGCTCTCAACAGAAACCACAAAGTAATCCACAGAGGTGTCCACAAAGCTTTCCAACCCTGCTGGCACTTTTATCTTGGACTTCTAGTCTCTAGAACTGTGGGAAAATGAATTTCTGTTTAATATCCACTCTTTGGTATTTTGTTACGGCAGCCCAGGCTAAGACAGATTTTGGTATCAGGAGTGAGCTGCTGGTGAAATAAATACCTCAACATGTGGAAGCAGCTTTGTAACTGGGAAATGGGTGGAGGCTAGAAGATGTTTGAGGTAAAAATATAAACACGAAGAGTGATTCTGGTGAGGTGTGAAGCATAAATGAGGAATATGTCATTGGAAACTAGGAAAGACAATCTTTGTTATAAAACGGCAAAGAATTTGGCTGAGCTGTGTTCTTGTGGTTTGTGGAAAGAAGAATTTGATCAGTGAAACTGGATATTAGCTGAGGAGATTTCTAAGCAAAGCATTTGTGGAGCAGCTTGGTTCCTCCTGACTGCAGAAGGAGCAAGAGGAATTGAAGAAGGACTTGTTAAGCAAAAGCAAGCCAGAAATTGAAAATTTGAAAATTCTCAGCCTTTCCTTATTGCAAAATATGAGAAAGCTTCTGAAAAGAACACTTAAGGGTGTGGCTGGATGACCATTTGATTACAAGTTTCTGGGATTGTATGAGCAGAAACACTGTGAGTTTGAACTGAAGGGGACAGAGATGGAGCACAATGAAGAAAGGTTGTTGGACTTCTTGGATTTGACAGGATGGGATATGGAGGTGTGTGGCTGTGAACATACATTAGTCTTTAAGAACAGGGAGAAGTGGCCCCAAAGGCGATTCAGAGGTCATAGGGCCACTGCCTCAGTTTCAACAAGCCCTAGGCACCTGCTGGGAGCCTTTGGGTTGGGACTCCACAGAACCAAAGGGGGTAGGGCCACCCCACAGACTCTTAGAGCTGTGGGAGTGATGCTGCCACCCCTTTGGGGCCGGAACGTGGGGCATTGAGCCAAACAGGATTATTCTTGAACCTTAAGATCTAAAGGAATTTGTATTGCTAGGTTTTAGGCTTGCTTGTGTCCCGTCACCCATTTCTTCCTTCCAGTTTCTCCCTTTGTGATGGGAATGTCTATCTAATGCCTGATCACCATTGTATTTTGAAAGCACATAACTTGTCTGGTTTCACAGGTTCACAGACAGAAAAGAGTTTTGCCT